TGGAAGTCAATGCAGATGAAATATTCAACAATAAATAAAAATAAGAACAACATATGAATTTTAGAGAAACACTTTTTATAGTAATTTATCACCATAAGAATGAATGATCTTGAAATTGAATCAAAGCTTATACATATAATTTCGTCAGGTAACAGAAAAAGGAGTATAAGTAACATTTCATATAGACATAATACATATAATATATACCAATGACTATCCAGAAAGATACTGGAAAAGAATGTTCTTCGAGCGAATAAGAGTTGTAAAAAAAAGTGACAAAAGCAAATAAAAAAATTAAACATAAGGGTTTTTTGTCGCCAGAAAGCTCTTCTAGACTTCAGAGTTTTATTATATTTATCCATAGCTTTTCTTTTTATTATATCTTGTTCATTAGAATTGACGTATCTTCCCGTGAGACATCGATTAACACTGTTGCACCAATTTTTAATAAAAAAACATTACAATAGATTTGAAAAAATGGCTTTTAAATTATGCTTAGTGCAACTGAAACTATATTAATGAAGAACATACTTTTCTAGTGTTTCTAATAGTTTTCGTTTAATATTGTCTGCAGTGCATAGTGTCTATATGAAATGATCCAATACTTGACAACATTTTTGAAATAAATCAAAAAATGTTGTACCTGGAACCTTTAGACAATTTCCTGTGTAATCCTCATATTCAATCCAAGAAGCTTCATCTTTGCCAATTGGATCTTCCAATAACTCAATTGCACAAGTGTGGCAATCCTGAATACTGTTTATCAGTTTGTGGGGAAATCAAGCAGGCTAGTGATTGTAGAAAAACAATTGGTCTTGTCATTTATATTTTCATATCAGTAATATTTTATAATGAATAAATTTTATATAATTTTATGCAAGTGGAGTTTATACTTTCGTATACATAACGACTCTCACATTGGTGACCTACGACGATTGAGATGAAGACAAAGAAGCAGTTTTATTTTTTGAGGATTCAAGAAATATAGATTTTGACGCAGCACAATAATCACTGGTCTTCAGAGACGACTTATAAGGTACGTCCAGTCTTCGGTTCATCATAGTTAACGCACTTACTACCTGAACCGGACTTTCGTGGTTACCCATTTTATATTCTCAGACTTCAGTGTTTATTGCTGATACAAAAAATAATTTGGAGCCTAGACTTTTCATTGGAATGCAATTCAATCTCTCCTTGTCCGTTAACTCAACTCAACAAATCGACAGCGACGTGTCAAAACAAAATGATGACATAAATTATTTATGGGATTCCACAATTCTGGACTCTTATGTTAAAGAAACCAATGATCCTGGTTTGGATAAAGAGCCAACTTCTTTCTCTGAAAAGAACCTAACAGATACGAATGCAACATCTGTCGAAATGGAAACTGTAACCATAAATCATGCATACCAAACATCAAGTAATTCTGTTATATTATGATGGCAATAGTACCAATTAATTATGATGGCAGTGTAAATGGTAAGCAATTGATAAAAGTGTTTGTCACAGAGCCACAAGGATTCGAGAATCCGATGTATGATCCAAAGGGCTACTGAAGTCGACAAGATTATATTAATCATTGTGAAAATTCATATTCTTACAGGGTGCCATCTGTTTACCCAAAATATTATAGAAATAAAAATTAATACAGTAGATCGTGGCTGAATCTTCGAAGTTCACCAAGACATCGAGGTTCAGGAAGTTCACTACATGACTTATATTCAGAACCATAAGCAGAGTTTGAAGATGATGGAAGGTCGAATTACCTACCATACGATGGATCTGCCGACGAAACTGTCATTTATTTCTAATTGACCAGTATCACAACACTGCTATAATTTGTTTTCCCACCATTTATTTATAACGTGTTTCCCTGTTTTTTTTTTAAACTGTGAGGTCAACACTGGGCAGGGAGTGTGTGGGGAAATCAAGCAGGCTAGTGATTGTAGAAAAACAATTGGACTTGCCATTTATATTTTCATATCAGTAATATTTTATAATGAATAAATTTTATATAATTTTATGCAAGTGGAGTTTATACTTTCATATACATAACGACTCCCACAAGTTTCTTAATACAGTACCCTGCATCATATGCGTTGGCAGCTTTACTATAAAGCGTCATGTCTTGAAAGAGAAAAGGCTCTTCATCAACTTCTTCATAAAAAACCTCTCTATTCAAAACATGATCGCTATCAAGAAAATCTCGATAAGCAGCAGGTAAACCACAATTGTCATCAACTTCACAATTAGAAGGCGAATGACGAGATGAAAAATTATTTATAATTAGTTTCCTAAAGGAGGATATAAAAGAATAAGAATTTGGATTCTTATTACATCCACCTTGCCTTCTTATGCTGCCAAAAAAGTTTTCTAACTGATCCTGATTGAAATTTCGCTTCACAAAAAATTAAAGCCATTAATTAACCGGATTTTTTCCCATATATGTTCCAAGCCATCTATGGTTCTGATCCAATTCTTAATGGCAGGAGTTTTTATTATGGTTCTAACTGAATTTTTTTTTTTAATGAAGTACATTGAATCTTACACTTGCCTTGCTATTTTCCAGAATTTAATATATACAGAATTATCATTATTGGCACAACGGAATATATTGCCATTTGTTGGAAATTGAGATAAACCATTAACACGATCAAAAAGGTAATTCATGAACTCCAAAATTTTTACTGTACCTACCGAAGTAGCACTCACATTGGCTTCGTGAGCATGTACAATGAAATATTGAAGTCCAAGCGCTACCCGTTTAGAAAATACTTGTGCTGCAAGGCTAAACTTCATTTTTCTCATTTTTGTTTCATCAAGGTGGTGTTCCGTTAAAGTAGTGCATTGGCAAAACCTGCCCAAATTGCTACCAAAGTCATAATAATCTCTGATATCCTTTATACATGCTTCGTATGCATCTCCTTTTTGATCCATAAATCTAACATTATACCTAATAAAGTTATTTCTCATGCATTTTAGCAAATGTGGAGGATCATACAAAGGAACTATTTCATGGCCATCTATTTCAAATATAAGTCAATTCCAATCAAGATTTTGTGTTTTATACAATTCCTCAGTATCTCTAAGAAACATATTTTTATAGCTTTGCCATTAGCAGCAAACTGATCACAAACTGTCGCAATAACATTTAGACCAATACTCAGTAGTTTTCTTAAGACATCTACAATAATACACTTTAAATTAACGCTGTTCACACCCCCATCAGAGAAGTAAACGCAACTGGTTGCACCGAGCGATGTTTCATGCCTTTAACTAAAAAGACAAGAGAATGATCAGCAAATAAACTTTCCCTGCCATTTGCCAGTTCCTGAAATCCAACAATATGATCCTTTTTACGGTCGTAAAATATTGCGGATGATAATGATATTTCATCAAACATTGGAACACAGTATTTGCTTTTCACATCTTTTTTCTGTGCCATAGCTGAACCCAATGTTTGGAAAAGGGTCTCATTAATACCATTATACAAAGGAATTGCTGAGAGCAACTTTCTCAATGTTTGAGGAGCAGGTAAAACAAATATTTTTCTCCTAAAGTAATAATCTCTTGGAGAAATTTTATACAGAGTTAAAGCAAGAATTTTATCATTAAACGTAAATTTTCTTCCTATTGGCTTTTTCGTATGTTCTCTTAGTTGACTTAATAGAAAATTACGAGCCCTCTTAATTAATGTTGCTGGGAGATAAGCAAAATTTTTAGCACATTTGAGACTTTCTTGTAACTTCCGCCTCATTGTTTTTTTTTGTATATTTATTCTCCTTACTTCCTTTCTCAACACTTTTGTTATACAGTATAAATTTTGTTCTTTGCATGTCAGGTCTCCACACTGCTTGTAAATTGAGTTACGAATTTCTGTTGAAAAAAAAAATCTAGAATCATTTGCTACGAACATAAATTGTAGTATAAAAAATTTTAAATAACACACCTTTCAGGGACGGTTTTCCACCTTTAGTTTCGACTTTCCTGCTATAAGATGGCTCAAACATTCCTTGAGTCTCTACTGTTGTAGGGTCCAAGGAAGCTACAATGAAATTTTATATTAGAACAATACAAATCGATTAAAGCTTATGTAATGATAAGTGAATTACTTTGGCTGCCCATGTCATTCATGCATGCAATACCCGAAACCTTCAAAAATGTTTGTGCCATATCCTCACTCTTGCGTATTGAAACACCTAGTTGAGTAAACTCATTATAATTCATTTTAAGAGTATATGTAAAATATATTACGGTATGTGTTTCTATCTAGAAGGCAGTTTTGTTCTGCATATGGATCTCCACTGAAACCTAAATGAGAAAACATTAGTATAAAAATGTTGTTGCGAAAATTATATTATATTTAATCGCCTTTTTGGCATGTTTAATGTAGGCAATGCATTAGGTTTTTAGTGTAGTGGCTGTTATATTTCTTTTGCATATACTTGCAAAATGTGCGTCACACACGAACCGAGACATATTGCAACGCGAAGGTGTTAATTTCTCAAGATCAGGATTTTTTGTTCTTTCCAGCCAAATTGCAAACATCTACAATTTAAGACAATTTAATCAATTAATTCATATTATATAATATTGCAAGATCAGTCCAATAGTTCAGAGATCTTTACACAAACATATTTCTTGTTTTAATATACAAGGAAAAAAGATAATATATTGCATACCCTGAGTACGCATGTTTGATTATAAATTATAAATGCACAAAATTGTTAATTACTTGATTATCAGAATTAAAAAAATGTAATCTTAATATAAAATTCCTAGTAAACAAAATATTTAAACTATCACAAGATTTAAAATCTTTGTTAATTAAACATTGATGTAAGATAAAAATAAGTAAATGTAAAATCACAAAAAAATACAAGTATAGTTAATGTACATAAAATAAAAATAGTCATGTTTCCAGCTCATCAAAATATCAGCATTCAAACTCACTAAAATCCCAGTTAAATATAAGAGTTTTTATCTTTCACTTCAATTTACTAATATATATGTGGTACTATCTTATATTTTACCACATTACAGTACTTCGTCCTACTGGCACCATGTTTTTTCTCACACTGGCGACCATCTCGTGCAGCTCGGTGTAGTAGAAATATTACACTAATAATTAGTGGCAAAAAGCTTATTACATTGAAAGGTGCACTCCAGAGTAAGGCAAAACTAAATGTAACTAAAACGATGATGTGTCCCAAATAGTTAGGATGCCGAACAAAACCCCATGTTTTAGCAAGAAGTAGCTTCTTACCAGAGAAAGTTATATATAAATCTTTATAATTAATTCTGTAATCAGCTGGGTTAATTCGAACAGCATATTTCATGTTATTACTATATCGAAACAGCAAATAACCAACAAAAAACATGCCTATGATAAATGCTAATGCTATAGAGGGTGCTCTTATGTTTCGATATAGTATATATTTCACAGGAAAAGCTGTGACAAATGGATAAAGATTGTCCTTCAGTAATAACATGAATCCAGTACCCTCATTCTGAATTTCAAAAGTGGCAGTCAGTTGTTTCTCATGAAACACCAAATCCAAATGAAAAAAAATATTCAGAGCAGTTACAAGAAATAGGGTAGAATTGTAATCAGTGGCTTCACCATATAACACATTTCTTATAAGGTTCCAAGCGTCTTCATGTACATAGGCTGTCAACAATAAAATCGGTCCCAAAATTGCCATTCTATAATAAATATGCTTGACATAAAAAATAGAAAAAATGCGAGGATTCAATTCGCATCCATTCCAAAATTCTGCAATTGTATTCCTTTTTGGTTCCATAATTGATGGTACCATAGAAACATAGTACTTCCTTAGATGTAAAATAAGCGAAATTAAAAATGCACATATCAGGGAGGAAATTATCAATCTGAAATCTTGTTCATGAATGTACTGCAAAATAGGAAAATTATACCGGTGTAACAAAGTAAAAATAACTGCGATGATAATTACACTAAAAAAACCATTGAAGTAGTAATTTAAAACACCATCCCTAGCGGGAAAACCGAAGGCGCTAGTTCCGAATATGCGAATAATAGAAAAAAACTGTTAAAAATGAAAGAAAGGCAATGTTCATCATGGAGGCTTGCTTTGAAAAATAAAGTTCAAGATTATTTAGATCAATTACTTGGGGATACCGAAAAACGCACTTGTCCATATTACATTTTTTTTTTTTTAATTTCAATAATTATTACAACTGCAAATTTATTAACATCAAGTAGTATTGATAAATAATAATATAAATTTAAATAAATAAAAGAGCAAAGGATAAAATTTACATGAAAATAATATCCGTAATATGATTTAATGTAAAATATAAGCAAATAATAATAAAAATAAGATTAATAAATAATATAAATAAAATTTCAGAATAATAAAATAATACTAGAAAAATAATAAAAATAACAAAATAACAATAATAGAAATAGTAAGATAATAATAATAATAATAATAATAATAATAATAATAAAATAATAGTAATAATAACAATAATAATAATAATAATTTACAAATTTATAAGATCGTTTGGAATTTTTCGTTTTAGTCTTGTTGGGCGCGCTTCTGAGTATACTTTGTTGGCCAAGTAATTTGGGTGCTCGTCTATTCTTTTTTTGTAATTGCTTGTTTTTTGTAGAATTTCTTCATTGACTGTCAATAAGTTGCTGTCCTGGTGAATCAGCCAGTTGGGAGCGTACCTAGGTGCGTTCAATGCCTGCCTTAGGATCTTGTTCTGCCTCGCTGGATAATCTGTAGATTGGTTTTTTTGGCGGTGCCCCATAGTTGAATTCCATAAGACCACACTGGTTTAAAAATACATTTATAAATAATTAACTTGTTATTTGTCGATAGTTCGGAACGTTTATTTAGTAGCCAATAATGTTTTTTGAATAGTTCATCAATCTGCTGTTTTTTCTTGTTAATGTGAACTCTCCAGTTTAATTTTGTGTCTAGGTGTATTCCCAGATATTTTACGCTATCTTTTACTGGGATTTCCTGTCCGTTTAACTTAGTTGTAGGGCATATACCAGTACGCAGCATGAAAGTGATATGCGTAGATTTTGATCCGTTTGTCATAATTCTCCATAAAGAAAGCCATTTTGTAGCAATATCTAGATGCTCTTGTAATAGTTGCGAAGCTATTGCGGGATCTTTATTGGAGGCAATGATACATGTATCGTCAGCAAATGTCGACACGCTTGTTCCGGAGTATAAAGGAAAATCCGCTGTGTATATAAGAAATAGAGTTGGAGAAAGGACGCTTCCCTGGGGCACCCCAGAAAGGATCTTTCTTCTGGTCGACTCCTCGTTGTTAATGTTGACGAAAAATTCCCTATTTTCAAGGAACGATTTTATTATTGAAAATATCGGTTCTGATAAACAGAGTTTTAGTTTGTACAACAAACCAGTGTGCCATACTTTGTCAAATGCTTGCGCAACGTCTAAAAACACAGCCGAACAATATTTTTTTGCATGGAACGATTCGTTAATTATATTTACTAGGCGATGTACCTGTTCTATGGTTGAGTGTTGTTCTCTAAAGCCGAATTGGTGATTTGGAATTAGGTTTTGATTCAACAATTCTGACTTAATGCGGTGGAGTAATAATTTTTCAAATATCTTCGAAACACAAGGAAGTAGGCTTATTGGTCTATAGGAAGACAATAAATGAGGATCTTTCCCAGGTTTAGGTATAAGAATTATTTTAGCTATTTTCCAAGCTTGAGGGAACACTTTTAATCTAAGAATTGAATTGAAAATTATTGTTAATAATCTAAATCCCTTTTCTGGCAGTTCTTTTATCATTTTTATCGTAATTTTATCTGGTCCAGGAGATTTATTAGGATTTGCAGCCTTGACATAATTTTTCAATTCGGTCACCGTTATGCGTTTTACTATTTGGCCTGGTATAGATACATTCTGTAGACAATTGTGAATAAAATCTTCATCATTTACGTTGCAACTGCGGGGATGAGGCTGGAATGTATTTTGCAAGTGTTCTGAAAATTCTTCCGATTTTTCTTCTGAACTTCTTGCCCAGGAACCATCAAGTTTACGCACTGGAGGTATATGTACTATCGGCCTTTTTAATCTCTTCGTTGCCTTCCAAAGAGAATAATTTGTGTCTTTAGTGGATGAAAGATTAGTTAAATAATTTTTAAGGCATTCATTCTTATATTCATATAATAAAGTCTTAAGATTCCTGCAGGCACAGTTAAATTTGTTTTTATCGGTCGGTGATCTTGTGGTTTGCCATATTTTTCGCAATTTGCGTTTTTGAGCTATAATTTTTTTAATGTTAATAGGATAATTAGGTTTGCTACTTGCATTTGAATGTATAGTAGATTTTTGAGCTGCTGATGATAGTAGAATTGTGAAGTTTGTTATCGCCAAGTTTAAATCCTGTTCATTTTTAAGAGGTATGTTGCAAGAAATTTTTTCATCAATTATCTCTTGGAATAATGACCAATTAGTAAATCTATTTGTTAGAAAATATGAGTTTTGATTTACTTCTGTAGTTGTAGAATATTGCAGAATAATTGGCGAATGATCAGAATTTAAATCTAAATTTGATTTGATATCTAAACAATTATTGTTAACGCCTTTGTCCATATTACATGTATTATAAAGGTACATGCAAATTAAAGGCGTGCCCGAAATCAAAAAAGCTGTAAGAAGAAATTTAATCATTTTTATTACGATGAAATGGTCTTTGTTATGTACATTTTTAACCTCCTCATCGGAATCGGAAATTTCTGTATTCAATGGATTCAAAGGTGTTGCTTCTTTTTCATGAATTATTGGTTCAACATTTTGTTCATCCGGTGTTGCCGACTTTTGTCTGGTAGACCTGTTTGTAACACGTAACATGTTTCGCGGTTGAATCATGTACACTTCTGAAACTGTATCTTCTATGTCAGAACGTCTGAAATCCTCTCCTGTTAAAACAGGAGACTCACGTTCTGCAATATTTTGATCAATCATCTCAAGTTCGGAGTTCTTACAGGAACTTTGACGACTATTGGATCTGGATGAATGGAGAATATCACGAAGGACTACAGATGCACTACTGTGTTGTTCAGACCATAGATTTTGTGCATTGTTCATCAATTTTGTTGAACGATTTACACTTGAGCGACGTACCACTTTCTTTGGTTGCTGTGCTTCCGATTCATCATGGGCACTGTCTAAACGTATAACACGACCTCTACTCTTGCTTCGAGTATTCATTTTGGTAGTACTGTTAGCAGTTGAGGGTCTACGAGGACTTCTTCCAATTCGCTTTTTAATTTCCGGCTTTACGCTCACAAGGGCTTCATCCAATGATTTTTGATTTGTCTTCACAACATCTTCTGAAAGATCTGAAACAATTACTTCAGTAGGTTTTCTTCGTGATGGAGATCTACTGTGTCGGCGGCATCGCGTTACAGTTTTAGTTACAGGTCGAATGTAAATTTCCTGTACTTGATGTACAGCGCCGTCACCAAATTTAATGAGACATGAGGTCCCTTTTGTCTCTAATACCTCAGCTTGAGAATAAAGCCTGGATCCAGGCATTCTAGCTTCGATTTTATCTCCAATTTGAAACGTAGTTAAAATATATTATCAGTCTGAAAGATTAAAACTTCGAACACTTCTTCACGAGCAATTACTAAAATGCGCCAGAAACAAACGCTCTCAACAGCTTACGCGCGATATACAACATCCAAAACAATATTTATTTGTAATTAATGTTTGATTATTTTATTCCTGATACGTACTTTGTCAATTCTCGCTGGAAATACATGCAATTTTGCATTTTTAGTGCACCCTGGAACATAACACTTTGACATTTTGCTTGCAAACTCACTTAAATTACTGACAAACTCAACTGAATACAACGACTTAACGACTTAACCTTATCTACGATGACGACACTCATGAAAATGACAAACGTTCTCGAAATTGTTTTGAAATTGCGTTGAAAATCTTACCCGATGAGTGTCAAATCGCTGCAAGAGCGCACCTAGGGAAAGCAGCTCTAACTAAAACCGAGTTACAAACTTTTGTTCGGAGTTTACTGGCCATGCTTGGACTATCTCTACGCCGTAGCGGATTGACTGGTAGTCGGCTAGCATATTCCACGGGCCGCTCGACCTCTTTTTCCCCCTGGAATAAGGCTTCCCCTAGAGCATAAGAACTTGCGTTATTCAATAAATTTGAATACAGAGTTCTTAAATTATACCTCATAATATTAAATAATAACACACATATACTATATATAAAGCAGTGTGTGATCCAGCTTTGGCGACAGGGGGAGGGAGTCCGCTTAGTAAAAAAAAAATCACAAGATCAAAAATTGAAATTATTTCAAATAAAATTTAGGTATTTTAATAATGTAAATAAGTACTTTACTCCTGAAAATCGCAACATAACATACACAATAAAAATAAATATATAGATACATATATAAATTAAATATACAATAATTACTTTTTACTATTCTAATATGTAATTATTACAAAAAACAATTTTACAATATATAATAATTACAAAACATACTTAATAATTTAAAAGATAAGAGCAAAATATACATTTTCAAATTACAAAATCAATTTTTGTTTTGTGTTTTCTCCCAAAACGCGTTACTACATCATCGACGTTACTTGGTATATTTTTATATACATGGAGAAGTGCCAGTCCTG